GACATTTCATTGTCAGATTCACAATTGTTGTTTTTGTGCAATGACAATAAAGAAAGTCTAAGGAAGTCTAAGTCTGTTGGCAAGAAAATATTTAAGACCTTTAAGAATTCTGAATACCTTCTAAAGCGTGTGTTGAGGAAACTCAGAACTTTAAAAGACTTAAGCGTCTCTGCTGTGTACACGCCTCTTTGCTTTTAAATGAAGTTTTTTTTGTATGAATTTAACAACTTCACCACCTGCCAAGAAAGTGTCACATTCTGGAATGTTGGATGTTTCCTAAACACAAGCACCACAAACTAGAATGACATCAGTCCAAACAGTGTTGGTATTGTTAGTAGGATCATGAATCTGCTCAGACATCAAGGCAAACCTCGATTCTCCAGTTGATCACTTACAGACAACTTTTTAGTCTTTATTTTGAATGTGTTGCTGCAGTACATGGAGAAAAACACTCACCGTGATTGGATGTCGGGTCATAAACTGGGCAGCTTTCATTGGCTGGCGGTTGTAGGAGACCCAGAGCTGCACAAATGAAGGTTCATGGCTGCCAAACAGTTTCTGGAGACACAGAGGACACAACACAGTCTATTCATCACTCACTCCTCATTCAGAGGCAGACAGCTTTCGTTTTTGTTTCCCAGCAGCTCCAGCTCAGAATTGCATGTGGGCTTCATCTGTCATCGGAAGAAAACAATCTCTGAGTTAGCACAGATCCTGACAATCAAATCCCCCCCAGAACAAATGTAAAAGGTTTGATGGTGTGTGATGAACCGCAGAGGGCTTTGCTTCTCTCTGGAAGTCCCAGCCTCTTTTTATTTTTTTTGTGAACAGAGAACAGCGCTGTCACGTGAGGAGTTCACATCTGGCCACCGGACAGCAGAGCAGCAGTGAGGCTGAGGATAAGGAGCAGAGACTTTGGTTATCTGGACTGTCCTGACGATGGCATTTCTGTCTTAATATCCCAGCGGTACGGAGCTCGACAGCTCAGCCAGAAAACATTAAACGACCAGACTTAAAAAGAGTCCCGGTAGGGTACAAAAATCCGAGTGTGTGAGGGAGAGGGGGAGAAACTCCAAGGGCATGTCTTCATTGTCATTACAAATACATTAGGAGGCTGGCTGCTGGAGGAAGCACAGCTCTGATCTTTTATGAATTACAAGCATGCAGACTAGACAGAGTGGAGGACTTAAGCATGTCTCATTCTGTGTGTGTGTGTGTGTGTGTGTGTGTGTGTGTGTGAGAGCTTGACTTTTTACCTTCATTTACATTCAACCTGAATAAGAGTTTCCCTCGTTGCCTAAACCTGACCACACAGGACTCAGCTGCTGTTACGTCAAGCTAATAAAGGGAAGAAAATATCTGTTTATGTAACGTTTTCCCAGGAACTTGTGAAACATTCACAGAGCTGTGATGGCCGAGCGGTTGAGGCGTTCAGGTTCAAATCTTGATCACAGCGTTGATTTCTGCAGCTTTCATTATTATGATGAGCCCAGGTGGTTTATTGGTCTCACCGCATTTTCGTCAGAAAAATTTCCTCTTGAGCCCCTCCACATCACATACATGTTTATACGTCATCCCAGAAATGCTGCCCTCTTTTCCTTTAACTATCGTCCACCTACCTCATGTTTATAGAGTGTCAATATCTTTGTATTTATTCTTTAATAACTGTTCGCACTAAACTTTGGTTTTGTAATTTTTGCAGTACATTAAAACACTAACTTTCCTTCCGTAACCTGTTGCTCCACATGTTTTATTTTATACATACAAATAACACATAACCACACACACACACACACAAACTACCTCCATCTTGTTAAATATGTTGGTGCTGTGTCGTTATTGTCCGTGTTCAAATAGCACATGTTTATATTGCACTTCCATGTTCCCATATTTGTATTTGATCTTTTTCTGCACTGCATTCTTTGCAGTACATGTCTGATGTTTACATCGTCTCAGCCTTAACTCACATGTAGCTCTGCATACAGCTTGTTAAATGTTCATTGTTGTTGTTGAATGAAAGAAATGAAAAATACTTTATTCATCCCAGAAGGGAAATTCAATCCTGTGAAAGCTCACCTTTCTTTTTTTTTTTTTTTTTTTTTTTTTTTTTTGCATGTAGCACCTTAGCTCTGGATATGGGATAATGCCGTTTCATTTCATTGTGCATTGTACAGCTGTATGTGGCTGAAATGACAATAAAGCCCTTTTGAACTTTTTTTTTTGTGTCTACTTTAAGAGCTGAATAAACACCAAAGTAATAATGATTCAATATGTTCACGTACTCGGCCAATAAAGCACATTTTGATTCATCTGACTGATTCTGTATTTATCTCAAGAATGGCTTTAAAAATAAGTGTCAACGTGGGACCCACAATAATGTTGGATATTAATGCATACGGGACATTCTCATTTATCATTTTGCCATTTTATTGTTATAGGTTTGTTCACGGGCTGCAAGGTGGCGCAGTGGTTAGCACCGTCGCCAGTACGCGTCCCAGTGAGGACACTCGGGATGGGATCTTTCTGTGTGGAGTCTCCATGTTCTCCCCGTGCAGCGTGGGGAAACACCATTTGTACAAAGCACATAAAGAACCGCAGGACACCGTAACACTAGAACCAGTGGTGATAATAATAAAGGCGGTTTGTTAAGTTTAGTGACAGCTACAGTGATGTGCTCTGATGATTATTTTGGACAGCGGTGTGTAGTTGCCTGTTGCAGCACATATAATTGCATTTTTTAAATAAATATAATGGAGGGACATTTTTAGCATTTTGAATATTGAGGGGATGTGACTCTTTTGACTGCCTTTGGGGGGGGGGGAGCCCCTGTTGCTAGGCAACATCATCAAATTCAAATGAAAGCTATCTCAGATTAAAGGTAACGTTCTGGAATGGATCACAGACAGACAGATATGAGCTAGCTGTTTTCTGGTGTTGTTCTAAAGCGCAGGTTTAAATCTCTGTGTAAATAAATGATAAAACTTCCAGGTGTATGAGTGTTGACATTTAAAATGACATTTCAACATGTTGCTTTAAATAATCTACGACAAGTGTTTTCTAAATACTTGAGACCATTAGTTTAAGTCTCTTTAATGCTTTCGTTCCACTCTCAAACTCTTCTGTTGCTTTAACAGGAAATGCAAGTTTTGTTTTGGGTTTCTTTCACTCAAACAAAAACAAGCAAATATTCATTTTTATTAATATATTTTATATTCTTAATAATAATAATAACAACAACAACAACAACAACAACAACAACAATAATAATAATAATAATCATAATAATAATAAATGTTACTTGTAGTGAATGTAGTATCTTTTGTATGTTATATTCTATTGATAATAATGATAATTGCAAATAATAATTGTATTTTTGTTGTTGTTATACTGTCATCTTTTGACTACTACTACTACTACTGTGTGTGTGTGTGTGTGTGTGTGTGTGTGTGTGTGTGTGTGTGTGTGTGTGTGTGTGGAAACTGCAGTAAACCTACACAGACAGAAGGAGATGGAGAGGAAGCAGCTCCTTCTGACTGTGAGGGTGTAACACTGGTGGAGAGAGGGGAGGATGAGGGTAGGGTGAGGGGATGAAGGAGGAGGCTAGAGGGGGAGGATGGGGGAGAGAGGGGGGGTTTAAAGGAAGCAGAAGGACATAAATCCTCTTCCCTTGTCACTTTTCTGCTTCTCTCTCAACTCTTCTTTCCTTAACTTATCTCTCTCCTCTTGCTCTTTCTTTTCTCTTTTTTCTTCATCTCTTTTCTCTCCTCTTTCTCTTCTTCTTCTCCATTTTCTCCTGTTCTCTTTTTTTTTTTCTGCTGTGCCCTCATCTGCATCTTTTCTTTCTCTTTCTTTGCCTCCCCCTCTTTGGCTTGTGCAATCAGAGCATCCTTCCCCCCCATGATGAGCTGGCTCGTCTTCACACTTTCTTCTTGGAGTTGGGAGTTCTCGGAGGCCACCTCTTCTTCACCGGTTCTCCCAGTCGGCATCCAGGTACGCAAATATGTCATTGGAAACCTTTTTACTTTCTAAGAAGTGGTTCTTGCAGGAGTCCTTTACTTTGAGAAGTTCTGCCCCCCACGTTGATGAAAACTCGTCTACATCAGTCTTCCAGGCAACAGTTCCAGTGTTTTTCTTCTCCGTGGCCACACACTGTTGGAAGTCGTGGGTGTGATTATGTTTCTCCAGACTCATCAGCTCCCAGTCTTCTGGTCTCTGGATGCCCCCTGATCACAGTCCTGAAGATATACTCCAGATATGCGAAGACGTGACTCGGGCTGACTTAAAATGAGCCGACTATACGAATGCACAGTGATGACAGCTAGATGCATGAAAGAGGAGGGATACACTGATTATACACTGATTACCGTGATGCCGTCCTGATTCTTTCTTATGACTTTAATGCTACTGATCCTGCCTTGTGTTGGGGACAATCAAGGGAAAGAAGAAAAACTTTTAAAAGAAAAACTGATGGAATTACATTTCACATTTTCTTGGTTTTCACATACCGTATATTTCCATTATCTGTGTTGCTTTGGTGCATTTCAGGCCACCGCTCATCGTCAGCACTCATACAAAATTAGCCCTATGGTCATGATCAATAAGTGTATAGACATTTACCAAATGTATTCAGCCTTCAGATGCAGCGGAGGAAGACATTTTCATCAGTTCATAACAGCAATCTGCTCCTCAGCAGTGCCTCACACCACCATATTCTTACAACTCAATCCACCACAAGTCAACAACCTCAAACTCCAAACTAGTTTATCAATTTACCTGACAGAAAAGAACCACTTAAATTAGTCATTTAGCTTCATTTTCTACATATTTGTTTTACCCCTCAAAAAAAACAGGGAGAATTCTGTCCATTCAGTGAGGCTTGATTTTGTTTTCGTCTAAATGTGAATGTCTGAATATGATAAAAACATGTGTCACCACAATGAAACAAACTCATTTATTTTATCTGGGTACAACAAACAAGTGCATAAAATGCTCACATTTGAGAAGTGGAAGCAGAAAACGTTTGGCATTTTTGCTTAATTAAAAAAAAAAACAACTAATAAATCAGTTGCAGTTTTACATTAGCGGTGTCTTAATTTGGGCTCAGACAAAACAGAATCATAACAGATAGCCTCTTTTACAGAGTAGGGGTGTGTAGTTTAAAGACACCGGTGTGGTTAGTAGGTAGGGATGGTCAAATGAAAGATGCTGTCAGATGCATTCTGGGGAGTGAACGATCCAGTGTCTTTTCACTGACACTAACAAGCACCTTATGTTTGCACTTGATTATGAGTCCTGCCCTGTTAGCACAATACAGCTACATGAGCAAATGTTGGGCCCTGTGAGGATCGGTTACTTCCTGGTTGTAAAACACAAAACAAATATGTTGACCATAAGCTGGAACTCCACTGCAAACCAAGCGGTTAACATCAAGTGTGGCCATTAACATGCTTGTCTTAAAATGCTTGGACATCCCATTCCACAAACGAGTTCATTTTGAGCACACCTCGACATATTTAGTCGTTCTTTTCTTTACTGTCTCTTATGAATCCCAGAATGTA